AGACACATAGAAACACAGACACACAGACACAACACAGACATGGAGATACACAGACACACAGACACAACACAAAGACAGACACAGAGACACACAGACACATACGTAGGCACACAGACAGCAGACCTGGACACACACAGAGACACAGGGACACACAGACATACAGACACAACACACAGTCACACAGACAACAAACACAACACACAGACACGGAGACACACAAACACAACACTGAGACACAGACACACAGACACAACACACAGTCACACAGACAACAAACACAACACACAGACACACAGACACAACACAAACATGGAGACACACAGACACAACACTGAGACACACAGACACAGAGACACACAGACACACAGACACAACACACAGACACAACACACAAACACACAGACACAGAGACACACAGACACACAGACACAACACTGAGACACACAGACACACAGACACAGACACACAGACACAACACTCAGACACACAGACACACAGACACAACACACAGGCACACAGACAGCAGACCTAGACACACACACACAGAGACACGGACACACAGACACAACACACAGACACACGGACACAATACACAGACACGGAGACATACAGACACACAGACACAACACTGAGACACACAGACATAACACACAGACACACAGACACAACACAGACACACAGACACAACAGACACGGAGACACACAGACACAACACGGAGACACACAGACACAGACACAGACAGACAGACACACAGACATAATACAGACACACAGACAGCAGACCTGGATGCACACAGACACAGGGACACACAGACACACAGACACAGGTGCACAGCAGGCACAGATGGGCACGCGCAGGCACACAGCACATGCAGTGGACACAGCCCACACGAGCACTCCTCCTGGCCTTCCTCCTGGTGCCACTTCATGCCTGACCCGTGGTGCAGCGAGGCCCCAGGCCCCTGACACACGGTTCACAGCTGTGTCCCTGGCCCTGTGTTTGAGGGATGTCGGGGCACGGGCTGCAGTCCTTGGGGTGGCACGTGTGGACACTGCCCGTGGCCTGGGTTTTTCAGCTCTTCCCAAGGCACTCCATTAGCACCCTTTGTCCTTAGGGACTGTGTACAAGTGACCGGTGGCCCTGCGTCCTCTGTTCCAAGCACCTTCAGTGGACATCTCTCCTGGGCATGGCCCTGGCCTGTGGCTCCGTAGACGATGAGTGGACATGGCCAGCTTCCCAGAGCCTCTGTCCTGGGTGGAGTGAGGCAGGGAGAAAGGCGGAGGAGGGGTCCAGCCAGTGGCCATGCATGGTCCTGGCGATGCTCTGGCGAGCCGAGCCACAGGGGTGGGGCTGCAAGGGGAAGCTCACAGGGTGATGGAGGGTCCCGGAGGGGTGCAGCCCCTCCCGGGGCTCGCGGGACACAGCAGGAGTCAGGCTCTTCTTTGGGAAAGTTGCTCCCACAGGGTCTCAGGGTGAAGAGCCCTGTGGGGCTGGGTCGGTGGCACTCGCCTGTAGTCCCTGTGACTTGGGAGGCCGAGGCAGGGAGATGGAAGTTCAAGGCCATCCTCAGCAACTTGGCAACTAAGCAACGTAGTGAGACCTTGTCTCTGAGAGATGTGGCCGGGGTAACGCAGCCCTGGGCTCAACTCCCAGCACCAACCAAAAGAGCCCTCGGGGGTTTTGAGCCACCTGCCACCAAATGCTCTTAGGTGGAGTGACCTGTGTGCGAATCTTGGTTTTCTTCTCCGTGAGTCTCACCCTCCCTCTGCGCCATGGCGATGGGCTCTTTCGAGGTCTGAATTCAGTTCTGGAAATTCAAAAAGGAATCTGAAGCCTTGAACCTGGGGCCCGCGCATGGTGGGCGGCACTGTAGCACCTCACCCTGGACACCTGCGGGACCCCTGTGGGGACGCAGGGGCAGCAGCAGGCATGGTGGGCAAGGCGTGGAAGGGCCTTTGTCAGGTTCTGTGTTTGGCTGAGCAGGGAGGAGGGGCTGCCTCGGGGAGCCAGGCTCACGGCTGGCCTGTCCTCCCGGTGGCCAGGAGGAGGGAGTCCCTGGCTCCTCCTGCAGAGGAGGGGAGACGGGGTCTGCGCGCTGGCGGCCTGGTCCTCTGCTGCTGGCTGCTCTGTGTGACATGGACACCTGACAGCCCTCACCTTGACCTACACTGTGGGAACGGCGGCTTTCTGCCCCCGGGGACAGAACCACATGCCCGTGGCCATCTGTGGCAGGCTTCTCCCCCTCGGGGGTCCCACGGCCCATCCGTCTGCAGCACGGGTCAGTGCTGCGTCCCTCCTGCCGCTGCGCCATCTCCCACGGGTGGGCACACCTCGAGTCCCCCCCACGGGTATTCCATGGCTGGACCCTTCCGCTACCTGAGTCACGCTGCAGTGGACATCTGTCACATCTTCCTGTCTCCCTCCTCTTCACTTTCCCTCAGGGCCAGGGGGTAGATTTCTGGTCCCTGTGATGAAGCTGCGGGTGGCCGTGTGGTGGCCGCCGGCCGGCCGCGCTAGCTGTACCACCTCACCCTGCCGCGGCGCGCTTTCCCCACACCTTGCTGCCCTCGAGCTGTCCCTGCCTGCAGTCACTCCTGCGGCCTCCCGGTGTTGGACCTGCATTCCTAATGGCAGTGATGCCGGGCACCCGGCAAGGCGCCTGTTGATATCTCAGTCTCTGTTTGGGGACGTGCCTCCCTCAGTTGGGTTGTCTTCTTGTTGAGTGGCGGTGACTCGGTATCCTGGACACTGTGCCCTTATCAGGTTATGATTTGCAAATATTTTATCCCAAAATTTGTCTTTTCACTGTTCTGTTAATGTCCTCCAAAGAACAAGAGTTTTGGATCTCGTTGGATTCCAATTCATTTGGTTTCCTTTTTGTTCATGCTTCTGGTGTCTAGCCTGGGAACCCATTGCCAGACGGGGCTCCTGTGGCCTTGCCTGTGCTTGCCCAATGGTTTGGCCTGTGAGCTCTTCTGTGAGCTCTTTGAGCCACTGTGGTGATGCACACGGCGTGTGACTTGCACACGGAGGAGAACCCGCTCAAATGGGAAGCGTGCAGCTTGATAAATGTTTGAAAACTGGAGACACCCATGTCACCAGGAGCCAGACCCAGACAGAGAACATGACAAGCCCTAGATGTCCATGGGCCCCTGTCCGGTCCCTTCCCCCAAAGCAGTCCCATCCGACTCTGACAATGTGGACCAGTTTCGGCCTCGCTTTGGCGGTGGCAGAACAGAGTCTGTCCTCGTCTGTGCCGTCTTCCGTGTGTGTCTCCATGATGTCTGCCCAGGCGAGAGGCGGCGTGGCTCTGAGGCCGGACCTGCCCCCCGGGGTTGAGGGCCTCCAGTCTGGGGATCGAGTGCCCGTGGGGGCGGTGGCTCTGATCCCACCTCCCGCCTGCTCGTCCGTGACCTTGCTTGAGCCCCTCCAGTGCACAGTGTCTCCTGTGGAAAGGGGCTGATGAGGCACCTCGCGGGCACAGCAGGGTTAGAACAATCCAGAACATGACCTGCTTCCACAGGCCTCGCCGGCTGTCGCGACATGGCCTCTGCTGCTGAGAAGCGTCCAGCCATGCAGGCCTCTGCCCTGGAGGATGCACCCCCTCCTCGTCCAGCTGTCCCAGAAGTTCTGTGACAAAAGCCATGGGGGCCCCTGGATGGGGTGGATGCAAGGAAGGCCAGAGGTCACAGACTGTGCAGGGAGGAGGGGCTTTCCATCTGAGCTCCGTGACACCAGTCGTCAGAAGTGACTTCTGCTTCTGAAATGCAGAGCGGTTTCCCTCTCACATTCATGCCTGGGGAGTGGGCATCTCTGACCACTAGCTGTGTGAGCCACTGAGACCTCCTGATCACCCTCTGGCCAGGCTCTGTGGTGCAGCCTTCTGACCAGAAGAGCAGGCCACTGGTGAACCCAGAGGCCCAGGTGCCCTGTCGGAGGCTCACTGTAGGGTGATGGCGAGCAGCGTGAACCGGGTGGGAGGGACCAAGTCAGGGACACCTTCAGGGAGGGCTTTCGAGGAAGAGGCATGGGAACGAGGAGAGAACGTTCAGGGCAGCAGCTGGGGGAGCAAGAAGGACAGCGTGAGCAGAGGCCTGGGGATGGACGGCCGGCAGGACGAGGGTGGGGCCCTCATGGTGCCCGGAAAGGGTCCTTTGCCCAAAGCCCTGAGTGGGCCTCGCTGGTTGGCCACACTGGGCCCACGCAGGGGGATGACCTGGGTTCAGGGAGGGGTCAGGGAGGGAGGGGAGAGGCTGGAAGTGCCCTCCTCAGTCGCTCTCGCAGGACAGAGACATCATAGGTTCACATTTGGGTGGTGGGCACCAGCCGCTTCCCATTTCAGGTAAGAATGGAGCTTGGGGACGTCCCTCCACCTTCAGCAACCGGCTTGCCCGCCTCGCCTGAGGCCAGCACATGGTCACCATGAATAACAGTGAACATGATATTTTGGTGTGATTCATGCAGAAGTAAGCCAGATCTCATTACGCTCGTGTGATCTGTTCAGGTTGTTTCAGTATTGACATTTATAATCGGGTTTAATGGATTTTAGGAATTATAAAAATAGAAATTGCTAATTGAGTAAGTTGAGGAACCAGAGCCTCCAGAAGAACATCACCCACCGCTCATCATCATCTCTCACCCCGCCCTCCCCGGGGGCGCGCTGCCTGCTCGCTCCTGCCCGCCTCCTTCACCCACCTCCGTATCCCTCCTGTGCCCCTCCTGTGCCCCTCCTGTGCCCCTCTGTGTCCTGAGAGGCAGAGGATCAGCGGCCCAGCCTCCCTTGAGCCCGACCCCTCCACAGCCCAGCCCAGGGGTGCCCTGCCTCCACGCAGGACCCGGTGGCCTGGGGAGCTGCTGGATGAGGCTGTGTGTGTGTGGGGGGTCTGGTTATGGTGCTTGTCCAGGATCCCTGAGGACCTCAGCAGGGCGGGCGGTTCCCCCACCCAGTGCCGTGGCCCAGCAGGGGTCCTGCCGCAGAAACCTGTGTGTGCTCTCCTGCAGGCCGGGCAGAAGCACTACCACCCCTCGTGCGCACTCTGCGTCAGGTGCGGCCAGATGTTTGCGGAAGGCGAGGAGATGTATCTTCAAGGTAACTCAGACATGCAGTTCGGGCCCCAGGGTCAGAGGCTACCCTTGGTGGGCTCCATGCCACGGGCTGGACGCCAGCTGGGCTGGCCGTGGGTGGAGGGCCCAGGCAAGGGCTGGAGGCGGAGCTGGCGGTAGCTGCTCTCCAGCGTTCGGCCACTGAAGCGTGCCCGTGGAGGCTGTGTGTCGGACAGACCTCCCTTTCTGAGGCGACCATGGGGTGATGTCACACAGGACAGCCTCGTCCCCGGCACTGCCTATTGTTCCCTGTGTCTGTGCCCCAGGGCCCTGAAAGGGGTCCTGTGCTCCCCCGGAGAGCCCGGGCTCCTCTGCAGGAGGCCCCCAGTCAATGCTGCTCTCAGACAACGGGGCTGGACTGGTGCCAACACTGCAGGGCTGGGCAGCAGCTCAGGGGCATGAGCTTGCATCAAGAGCCACCCAGTTCTGGGGAACAAGGACGCTGTCATGACTCTGGTCTTGGCTGGCACGGGGCCTCCACAGAGGGACCTGCAGGGAGGCTGAGCCTGTCGGCTCTCTGGCACCCTGGGTCTCCCACACTGCACAGTGGACACTGGATCCGGTTGGTGGCTTTGGAGCTCTGCTCTCTGACCATGGGACCCTGAAGCAGAAGCCCGGTGGCCCTGTGCCTGGTGGTCCTGTTTGGCTTCCCTGCATGTCAGATCAAGGTTCAGTTTGACAGAGAATCATGCTGTCATCGGAGCCCTGGCGTGTGGGTCTGCTGTCCCCAGGGTCTCCAGGCCACCTCAATAGCTCTCTCCCAGTAAACAGAGGGTCAGGGGGTTGGCACTCGCTGGTGACCAAGGAGCCTGGGCTGAAACCTGACCTAGATACCACCTCTCCCACCATGTTGGCGAGACCTCAGGACGGCCACCCCTTCACCCCTGTGGGGTGGAAAGTGGAAAGCTGCCCCCAGATCTCACGAGCCCCCAGCGTGTCCTCACCTGGGACCAGGGCTCCACACGCTGACTCGGGAGCAGGGCCCCAAGCCCCACACCATGGTCGAGCAAGGCAGCCCCGGGGAGAATGTGTGAAGAATGCCACCTGCCCTTACTGCAGACTGTCACCAATCTCCGTGGCACCTCTGGTGACGTTTCCTCACGGGGGCATGTTCAGGCCACGGTTAGGCGGGAGCCGCGGGACGGGCTGGGTACAGCGTGGGTCAGAGCTTGCCTGCACGCACAGGCCCTGCCTGGGTCCATCCCTGGGAGACTGCACGTGCTCTGAGCCCTGGGCCGCCGCAGGCCCGTGTCCTGGAAGCTGGCCAGCACTCAGACATTTTCAATTTCTAATAATTTTGGTAAGGAGCATCGAGTACTTCTGTAAGTGTAAAAACGGTCGGGAGACATGTGCACCATGTGCCCGCAACCCACCTCCCTTTAGAGCTCCCCAGGGAGGCTGAGGGCACCCAGGAGGCACACCCACTCCCTGGGCTCCTCCACGCACCCTGGGGAGCTCCGTAGCAGGAGATGGATGGAGTCCCCTCATCCCACACTGCTATGTAAGCCCCTCCTCTGGGCCAGGCCCCTGTGGCCTGCTTGGTCTGCTTGGTGGGCACATGGCCACTGCTGCAGGGACAGTGGGTGAGAGGCGGGACCACAGCAGCCAGAGGAGGGCGCTTGGGAGGGGCGGGGGAGCATGGATTGGGCTGAGGCTCCAGGAGCCCAGAGGAGAACCCAGTGTCCAGATCTAGAAGGAGGGCCCCCTACGTCCAGTCCCACCCTGTGGGCCTGGCTGACCTCGCGTATGTAGTCCTCTAGGCCCCGCTCACTGTCACCTCTGCCCAGTACTGAGTCCACCCAGAGAGCTGCCAGGTGGCAGCAGCACGTCCTCGCAGCCTTGGTTTTGGGGAGGTCGGGTTGCCCTGGACAAGAGCAGAGGCCCAGGACGTGGGGCACTGGGCCACCCTGTGGTGGGGATGGCGTGGCTGCTGGTGTGGTGCCGGCAGAGCCACCGTGAGGAACCCAGGGCACAGCGAGCCCCGAAGCCTGAATGGGGGGGGCGGGGCTGGAGCCTGTGGAGCAGACCTGGTGCCCCCGAGGGTCTGCCCACTGGGTCAGCTGAGGAGCACCCGCGTGCCCTTCTGGGGTCCTGCTTCTGAGCACGAGGCCATGCCAAAGGCCCGCGTCCACTGGTGCCTCCCATGGGGGCGCTCAGTACACAGTGGCACCTCTGCTCCTTGTTTCTGCCTCCACCCAAACTGGGCTCTGAGCCTCCAGGGACAGAGGCCTGGCACCAACCAGGGCAGAGGGTGGCCACTTGGGGGTGGCGAGCAGACATCCCTGCGGGAGGCGGCCCCCCTCTAACCACTTGCTCCTGGGAATTTGCCGGCAGGTTCCTCCATCTGGCACCCGGCGTGTCGGCAGGCAGCCAGAACTGAAGACAAGAGCAAGGTTGGTGGGTCCCCGTCTCTGATGCCACCCCCATCAGGGCACGGTCTCCGTGCAGTCGGGAGGGCACTGGCCAGTTCCTGCTGACTCATTGGCCAGTGCCCCAGGCCTCAGGGTGGGCAGCCAGGCCTAAGAGGGGCCAAGGGCGGGAGGGGTGAGCAGGTGCCCTGGGAGAGCCCTCATGCAGGTCCGGCAAGGGCCTCGAGGGGTCTTTGCCCTGGCCCTGCTGACCTCCTCACTCATCCATGAAAGTCTGGGGATGACTGCACAGTGGGGGTCCCCAAGGCCACCCTGAACCCTGACACCAACTGCAAACGTAGGTCTGCCCCCAAGTCTGATGGTTTAGTGGAAGGGCTCCCAGCCCTCACCAGGAGCTGGGCTGCTCCTGGTCACCACCCAGCACAGGGAAGGACAGGAGTGACACCAGCCAAAGAGGGAGACGCACCAGCAGAGTCCAGGGGGCTCCTGGCACAGAGCCCCCACTGGCCCTCTCCCCACCAAGTCAGGACGCCTCCCCCACCCCGCACCATGCTGGGCCCCCCAAGACTTTCCTGGGGCTGTGACACAGGTGTGATGGGTTGATTCATGGCCCATGTGCCAGGTCAGCTGATGTCACGGGACCCTGGCTCCCACCACACCCCAGTCACGTGGTTGGTCTTTCTGACGTGGCCACCCCCCACCCTAAGCCAGTCAGGCACGGTCAGTCTCTCCATGAACAAATGTGCGCCTATCAGGTAGGGCAAAGATGACCTTCAGAAACCAAGGGCACAGGCTAAGGGTCTCTCTGGGCCGGGCCAGATTCTTACCTGCACAGTGCCTACTGGGCGCCAGGCACGGGGTGTAGCTTGGAGCGAGTGGGACCTCGCCCTGCTGGAGCTGAGCTAGCTGGGAGGGCAGGATGGGCAGCCTGCAGAGGGCAGACAAGGGCTGGTGTGGCCCAGCACTGGGGAAACCACGGAGGTCACGAGCAAGGACCACAGGGGAGCCCTCTAGACAGCTGCCCGGGAGGCCTCCAGACCAAACGGCTCAGGCTGAGCACTGGAACGGGAGCCCCTGGGCCCGAGGAGGGCGGGTGGGGCCAGCAGTTAAGACCGAGGCAGGCCTGGGCCAGGCAGTTCAAGGCACTGCCCAGAGGCTGGTGGTGCCTAGAGGAGGAGGAGCTCCGCACGCCCCAACCAGGCTGCTGCGCCGCGGCCCTTCCTGCACCCTGCCCTTTCCACCTCTGCACCTTTGCAGATGCTTTCCCCTGACGGAGCGTCCTCTCCGCCCCTTTCAGCCCAGCCAACTCCTACTTTGGGCTTGAAAAGCCAACTTGAGAGTCACTCACCAAAGACTTTGCTGACCCCACGTCCTTGTCAGCAGCCCCCACTCCACAAACACGTGGGCTCTGCCCGCTCCATTCCCCTGGGCCCAGAGTAGGCCCTTTCCCTGTCCTGGATGTGGCCAAGCCCCAATGAGGACCTGCTGACTAAGCACGGAACCAGAGAGTGGGCAAAGGCCCCTGGAGGCAGGGAGGAGGGCCAGCCAGGGCCCCAAGGGCCCAGCCTGTCTGGCCAGTGGCGTGTGGCCCACAGCTCAGGCCACGTGTTGGTGCAGCCTCAGGAGCACAGCCTCCCTGGGTCCCTGCTTCTGCCCGTCAGGGCTGTCCCGAGGCCTTGTCCACTCCACCACCCATCACTCCTGAGCCCTTTTTCAGGGGAACCTTGAGGGGGCAGAGCCATTGTGACCCACCGCAGCACGTGGTTGGGACACAGGAACTAGCAACCACCCCTGTGGGCAGGAAGCTGGTGTTCAGGGCACCCCATGGACCAGGGACGGGGTCCAGACCAGGCCTCTCAGAGAGAAGCCTATGGGATGTCCAGTGGGCCACCAAGAGCCAGAGCAGCAGTGGCCGTGAGGAATCAGGTTGGACGGGTGGGCACAGGCCTCGGGAGGAGGCGCAGTGGGGCAGCTCCCTGGGGCCCGGGGCCCTCCTCAGTAGCTGTCCTCGGGAGGAGCTCTGCGGATGGGTCCCCATCCTCGGCCTCCTGGGGTGGTGTCAGACCCCATTGGGCCTCCGTAGCCTGGAGGCAGTGGGCACTCCCCACGGAGACCCCGTCGTCCTCTCAGTGGCTCATTCATCAGTAATCACCCGTGCCTTCCTGGGCATCCCTGACCTGGCCACAGGGTGCTGACCACTTGTGTGTGGGACCCCTGCCAGGGCCAGCTGAGGGGACCTGGTGGAGGCCCCAGCCATGCTCCTACATGTGGGTGGGGGGATATCCTGTCTCCTACGAATGACCCCAGCTAGAAAGGGAGGTCCCCCAACCACAGCCAGCCCCCAAGGACAGGGTGGAGTGTCCTGTGCAGCTGCAGGGTGGCCCGGGCTGCAGGGCGGGGCTGGCAGCAGTAGCAGCCTCAGCATCAAGGGCAGCTCTGCTGACCTCTGGGCTCCGACCAGTCAGGGGGAGGCCCCCTGAAGGGATGGATGCTGCCCAAGGGGTCCTTGTCCTCCCGGCCTGTGCAGGTGGGGCGGCTCCCTGGCCCTGTCTGAAGAGCTTCTGGCCAGTTGTTTCGTGGATGAGGCTGCTGCCTGCAGCCAGCTGTGGGGCGAGTGGGCACCCAGCAGAGCTTCCCTTACTGTGGTGCCAGGGCCAGGCACAGCTCAGGTCCCCTACGGGCCAGTTCTCCTGGGCACAATGGCTGCCTGGCCTGGGGCGGGATTGCCGTCCTCTGCCGCTCACCTCCCCTGGTGGCTGGGCCGCAGCCCGAGGAGGGCATCTGCATCACGAGCCCCCGACGTCTGCCACTGAGGTGGAGTGGCTCCCATGTTACCAGGAATCCAGATGAGGAGTACTCGCCTGTCAGGGGGTGAGTGACTTAGCTGTCTCTGTAGCAGTGCCCCTGCCACCAGTCTTGGATGGCCCCAGGACCCCCAGAGGAGCTGGCTCCACCCTGTCCAGGAAATAGGCCCGAGCCTGGACCCTTCAAGGACCCGACTGCCTGGCTGCCCCTCACCACCATGAGGCTGGGGCCCCGGAGAAGTGGGGAGATGTGTGTGGGCTCTGCCCAGGGTGCTCGGCAGACTTCAGGAGGTGTGGTCCTGATGACCCTGTCCCGGGGTCTCCCTGGGCATTTGGTCATGTGATCATCAACACATAGCCCCAAGTATCCTCTGCGTGGGTTTTGGTTGCCTGGAGCCCAGGAATGCTAAGACGCCTGGGCTCCCTGTCCTTGGGGGCCCCATGTCCAGTGTGGGGACAACGTGAGACCGGCTGCTCTGCGGTTCAGAAGAGCCCAGCCCCACCACAGGGGCAGCGGGAAGAGCAGCCTGAGTTATGGTCTGGAAGTGGGGCCGCCTTGCCGGCGAGCAGCAGAGGGGTCTTTTGAGGTGCTGGAGTGGCCGAGGTCTTGGGCCACCTGAGCTCTGGGAGGTGACCCCCGGCTGCCACCCAGAAGCCTGTGGTCTGAGGCTCAGGCAGGCCCTGAGTCCCTGGTGTGCAGCAGGAGAGGGCAGGGCTCCAGGAGGGCCTCGCATGGTCCTCACAGGTGGCTGAGGAGCACGCCGAGGGGACGCGGTGGGCGCTGCGCCTGAGCCTCATGCCTGCCCTCCTCTCTCCCTCTAGATGCAGAGCCCTATCTGCAGCCAGGCCCGCCCGGGCACCGCGCCCCGTGCCCTGCAGGTTTGTGCCTGCGCTGCCGTGTGTGGCTGTGCCCGGTCCTGGTGTCCACCTGTCCTTTCTGCTGTCATGCTGAGTGCAGGAGCTGTGCCGGGGTCTGGGGCTCCCCCTGCGCACTCCCAGGGCTCCCTATTAGGGCCCTGCGCTGGGCGCTGGACCACGGGGAGCCCCCGTCCTGCAGCTCTGAGGCTGCATCTGAGGTCAGGGTGGGGCGGGGCGGGCTCCTCTCTCCTGGGCAGTGGACAGCACCCCCGTGTCCTCACAGGTCTTCCTCTGTGTGCATCTGTGTCGTGATCTCCTCTTCTCCTGAGGACGCCAGGCAGACTGGGATGAGGGTCACCCTGTGACCCTCACCTGAAGTCCCTCTGAAAGACTGTGTCTCCACGTAGCCACCCTCAGAGGCCGTCGGGGCTAGAGCCACAACGTGGAGACTTGGGGGGGAACCCAATTCAGTCCCTAACACAGGGCACTGCCGGCAGATGGGCACAGGACTGGACAGACCATCAGGGAGGGTCAGGAACAGACCCGTTAGTACCAGGAGGCAGGAAGAGTAGCAGGCCCCTGGGAGCCTCAGCGCAGGACCCAGCTGCAGGGAGAGGGAGCCCAGGCTCCTGGCTCCGAGGGGGAGGCCCTGGAGGGAGATGAGTTCCTGCCGGGTGGGGTGAGGAGGAGGCGGGGGAAGCCAGGCGGGAGGTGGCCCCGGGGGTGGGACAGATGCCAGCTACAGCCAGAGAGGCACAGGAGGAAGTAGACTTCAGCCCTGGGCAGCAGCGGGTGGGAGGAGGGGCCCGGTGTCACCAGGGGAGGCGGCGCAGGTCTCAGGCACCCAGCAGTTGGAACCCAGACACGAGGGCTTGGTGGCAAGGTGCTTGGCCCACTTTGGGGAGGACCAGCCCAAGACACTGAGGGTTAGGAGCAGCTGTCCCTGGTGGTGGCCAGGGGTACGGGGTCAGCTAGAGAGCACTGCCCATGATGGAGGCTACCAGGACATCAGGAGGCGTCCTGAGAGGCCACACGCCGACCCTGCCCAGGCGGGACGGCCTCTCTGCACAGTGGACAGTGGGTGAAAGAGGATGCCCTGGCATGGGCAGAGGGTAGGGCACAGCTCGCCCTCTCCACGGGGGAGGCTCTGTGCGGGGCAGCCCCGGAGCGCTGCCAGCCACCAGGCCGTGGGCCGCTTTGCCTGTCCCCGTGTGGCCTGCCGTGTTGTCTGGCCGTGGCCCTCCCGTCGCTCGTCCGAGCCTGTGTGTTGGTGAGGACCCTCCGGCCAGGGGAGGCAGAAACTAGAAGCCTGGTGGGCGGTGTTGCTGCAGAGCGGTGGCCGCCCAAGTCCAGCTGGGACCCTGCTCAGCCTGCACCGCTCTCTCCCCAGGACACCAGGACTTCCTCGGAGAGCATCGTCTCCGTGCCCGCCTCCAGCACCTCAGGGTCTCCCAGCCGCGTCATCTACGTAAGTGGGGCCTGGGTGCGGTCGCCCCGGGGTGGCGGGGAGGCCCGTGTTCTGGCTCCTCTCCTGGGCACTCACTCATGCAGATCTCCTGGGGTCGAGTCCCCCGGATCGTACCCCAGCTCTCTGGTGACCAGAAGGCAGAGTGATGTCACCCACGATGGTGTAAACCAGCCCCATGGATGGCGTCAGGGTGTGCCAGGCGGCATGTGGGGAGGGGCAAAAGTGAAACCTGTGAGCGAGAGGTTGACTTCCACTTGTCACGCAGCAAAACTTGTCCCTGAGAGAGCCCCAAGGGGCCACACGGGGGATGGCTTATCAGGGGAAGGAGTCCAGCCCCTTATGCTGCCCTTACCCAGAATGGCAGGTGACATGGGACCGGTCACTTCTGCAGTGCCCCTGCCGGCCAGGCCAGGACCTCGGTCCTGCAGTGTGGAGGGTCCGGTTTGCTCTTTGCATTCTCCCCACCCTTCCTCTCCGCAGTGGTGGGACACAGATTTTCTCCTGCTGTGGTTCTTAAGGGTGATGATGATGAACACTCTTTTCCTTGGGTGACTATGGCCTGTCACTGGCCTGAAGGGTGATGACACCATGGTCCTTTGGGGACATCTCCCCTGAGACTTAGTGTGCGGTCATCAAACCTGCTGTGTGACCTCAGTGAACCAGTCTCCTCTCTGAGCCTCTGGCGGTCATCTGTAGGATGAGGAGACTCTGCCCCCACTGTCCAGGGCTCACTGAGGTATCTCACAGGAGGCTCTGGGCATAGATCCTGGCCCAGAAGGAGGACGTAGGAAGTGCTCACTGCCAGCGTTGTTAGGGGTCTCCGCCAGCTTGCTCCGCTGCCATGACAAGGAAATGGGGCTGAGTGTTTGGACGAGGAGGCGGAATATCTCACAGCTCTGGAGGCTGAAGTCCAAAGTGCGGGCAGGCCTCGTTCCTCCCGAGGCCTTTTTCCTGGGCTGGTGGACAGTGCCTTCTTCCCCCTCACGGGGTCATCCCTGTGCCTGTCTGTGTCCTGACGGCCTCTGCTCACAAGGACACCAGGCATACTGGATTAGGGCCACCGCACAGACCTCACTCCACCTTAAGTACCGCTGTAAGGCCCTGTTCCCAAACAGTGGCATTCAGAGTCCTGGGAGCTGGGACTGCACCATAGGGATTCAGCCCTCAGTGCCACCATCATCGTCATGAGTAATGCTACTCGTCAGGACTGAGGATGTACATTGGACAATGTTTGCAAAGTGCCTTGCAGGGCCTGGCACCTGGAAGGTGCTCCCCAGATGGCACAAAGGGCCTGGCGCGTGGTATCTGCTCACTAAATGTGTGCTTAAATAACGGCCCTTGCAAGGGGCTTAGGTTATGTAGTGACCACATAACCATGCAGAGAGTGGTGACAGTAGCCTCCAATGTCCCAACACCGCTTTCAAGGCCACACAGAGCTGGGCTTCAGACCCAGACTCCCTGATCCGATGTCTGGGCTGTCTCCAGGGACTCCGCTGCTCCGTGCTGAAACCACCATCGTGGTCCTTTCTTCTCTCACCAGGTAGTCGCTAGCACAGCCAAGCTCCAAGACCCCACGGCCCAGGGAACCCAGCTGGGATGGGGCTAGGCTGTGACCGTGTCCTCCACGGACTTCCAGTCCACTGAGTACTTGGCTTCAGGTGGGATGGGGGCCAAGGAAAGGTGCAGGACTCTGGTGGGTGAGGACTCCCCGGCCAGAGTGTCCACGTTGTGTCTGAACTCGGCGGAGCCTCCTGTTGGACAGAGAGGTGCGCCTGCTTCAGTGTCAGATGCGATGGTATCCAGCACCCAGATCTAAACTACCAGTTCTTAGGTTGACACCGTGAGCAAGCACTGGCAGTGAACAGTGGGCAGCCAGGCCCCAGGACGCCCTGCCCCGCAGCCTTCTCTCAGCCTCAGAGCCCACTGACTAGGTGGGCGCCTGGCCTGCACCCCGGGGGTGGCTCAGATTGCTGCAGACTCACAGGTGCCCGGCCTCTCACACAGCATCTGAGCAAGGACACCACTGCCCAGGAACTCCCAGAGCCCAGGAGGCCCACAGGCCAGAACGCCCCAGTCTGTCTCCCAAATCAGGCAGCGGGCAGTCCCTGTGCTTGAACTCCTTCCTGGGACATGGCCGGCTGGAACAAGCCCTCTTGGCTCCGAGTGGGGCCCGGCTTGTCTTTCCTTCCCTGCTGGGGTACCCACCCTGGCTGGGTGCAGGACACACGCCTGGCCCCAGGAGGGTGAGCTCATTCCATGGCCACTCAGGCTGGCACAGGACACCAGTGCCAGCTCCTGCCAGCCAGGATGCTGGTCATCAAACGCTGTCTCCTCTGATCGCCCCAGGCAGGCGGAGATGGTCCCCCATCACATCCACGTGGCAAAATTCCTGGGGTGCTGTGCCGTCTCCTGTAGACCTGCACTTGGGGCAGCAGGCGGGGCCTCATTTACCTTCACATCGGGGACCAGACCTGCGCACAGCACGGGGACTCTCACGATGATCTGTCCACTGCCTCCTCTATTACACAAGTAATGCACATCTACCCATCACTCATGTCTGGGGTCAGCACGAGGCGGGAGTGCGTGCCGTGGCCGCCCCTCGGGAACGCAGGGCGAGGCTGTGCACAGCTCCCCGAGGGCCTCTTCCCTCTGGTGTGATTTGTCAACACTGGAGTCACACGAGCAGTGTGTGCCCTCTTCCGGCACCAAGTGGCCTGTGCTGCGGTGGCAGGAGCTCGTGGTGACGGTGGGATCACACAGGGTCGTAGCATGGCTTCTTGGCTAGATGGAGTATAGGGGAGAAGAAAGCTGAGAAGAAGCACTGTCCACCTGCCCAGTGGCCTTCCCAGGGAGGAGCAAGCCTGGGAGCCTGGGCACAGGAGGCCGTGGGGCTACAGGGCCACCCCACGGCTGTCTGTGTTTGTGGACGGGCGGCCACTGGGCCATCCACATCCAGCAGCCCGCCAGCCCTGGGCCCACTGCCAGGGACAGGAGGCCTGAGGACGGAGGGGACTAGCCTGGGGCCAGGTGCCTCCCAGACCCAGGCCCTGTGGCTACTCAGGGAAAGCCCAGAGGACAGGTAACTGAGGGAGGTGCGTGTGGGGGGCGTGGCCTCTTAATGACCTGAGAAACTCAGGTCTGAGGCATCTTACTGGAGCCATGACCGCCGAGGCCCACTGCGGTCCAGCGACGTACCAACCCAGCGGGCGTCCCCTCTGCAGGAGACGAGACCCACAGAGCTCTGCCGACTTTGGCAAACGCTGCAGTGACTGTAATTCATTTTGTCCAGGGCGCCCTGAGCACTTGGCCAGGACAAGCTTGGAGTTAGGGGCAGGGGCTCAATGAGGGATTAAATGGGGTCCGGGGACCCTCTAGTGTTGTCTGGGTCACAGATGAAGACCAGTCCCTTCCCGACAGGAAGAAAATAAAACAGCTCCTAGATGGGAAGGGCCCCGAGGAGGCCCCCTGGAGCCTGAGAGGCGGGAGGCCAGGCAGGGGAAGGGGTCAGCAAGAGCAAGTCCCCGATGAGGAATGGACTAGTGATGGGGAACTGCACGGGTCAGGGTGGCGGGTGTGAGGGGGAGCAGGGGGCCAGGCTGAGCAGGCAGGAGGGCCACACCCCGAGTCCTGGGCTCTGGCTCCCTACTGCCCCCAAAGGCAGAGGAATGCCTGGAAAATGCCGGCAGGCTGACCACCATGACTGCACGTGGACAGCTCGGGGTTGGACCTGGGGTCTCCCGCCCTGTCCTGGGCTCCAGAAGGACCAGCCAGAGTGGAGACATCAGGCTTCCTTCTCGCCCTGGGCCATGCCAAGAGCAGGTCGGCCCGAAGGCCCGGAGTCCTGGCAGAGCCTGGGTCCGCCTGTTGTCAGGGTGGGCTTGCTGCAGGAGGCCAGCCAGTGCTGCTGGCTCTAGAGATGGTGCAGGGGGGGTCTGGCCACAGCACACCGTGGGCGTGGGGAGAGGCTGTGGGCAAGCAGGCTGGGGGCAGGAAACCCTCATTCAGGGGCTCCTGTGGGACTCACAGTGCCCCCTGAGGAAGGGCTGCCTGGGTTTGAGCTGCAGGAGTATGGGGTGAGCTAGGGAGACTCCCCTGCGGCAGGACAGGACAGGGGAGCACATCAGCAGAAAGCATAGACTCTCGGGTCGGACAGCACCATGCTGCCCCTGCTGTGTGACTCTGAACAAGTTGTCCAACCTCTCTGGGCTCCTCATCTGTCATAAGGAGTTACTGTGAGAGTTCCTGTCACAGACCTGCTGTAATATTTTGTGAGTTCACAGTAAAAGGTGGCAGTTGTCTCAGGTCCAGCCTGTGTGTCACCTGCTGCTGCTACTGAGGGTGTCTTCGTGCAGACCCTGCAGGAGAGGCCTTGAGCAGGCTGCTGTGGGCCAGCAGTGTCCAGATCAGAGCACCTTGGGCTGGAAAGTGCCCCGGGCAGCCCAAGGACCACCCAGGGCCAGAGCCAGGGCCAGGGCCAGGCAGTGGGCGGGTGGGCATTGGAGCTAGTGTGCCAGCACAGGGCGGAGTGAGAGCAGGTGGGCAGAGTGGACCAGGTGGCAGGCGGCCAGGCGGGCACTCTGAGAGCAGCCCTGCAGCCCCACAGGCTGGGTCGGCAAGCGCCCGTGAGCACCTTCTGTGGGCAGGTGCATGAGGGCCAGGGCCAACCCATCAGATGCCCGGGCTCACGCGTGCCAAGGTGCATGCACCAGTGTGTGTGTGTCTGTGTACTCACTGGGTGGGTGTGAGGGTGATCGTGTGTGTGCATGCAAGTTTCTAGGGGGTCCGTGTGTGCAAGTAGGTGTGCCAATATGCAGGTGTGTGCTGTGAGTGCGGGAGTGAGTGTGTGGGCCTGTGGGTGCCTGATTGTGGGTGTGCATGAGTGTGCACTACCATGTGGAGAGGTGCTGTGTAGGGACGTGTCCCTCTGCAGTCAGACTGCACATCCTCCGTGAGCATAGACGTGCACTGGCTCCTGTGTGCATACGTGAGTCTGAGCACATGCGTGTGTGCCTGTCCTGCATCTCACCGTCTGGCAGGCCTGTGCCGGGCTCATGGGTCTCGACCTCTCCGCCTGGGAACCCTCTGTTGACGCAGTTGGAGAGAGCGTGCTCAGGACCGCAGGGCCCTCTGGAGGCTGGCACGGGGCAGGTTGTCCCAGCTGAGTCTCCTGCCCCTGGGCGGTGTCCCGGCTCTGGGCTTGGGGCGGCTGCCGCCTGGGACCTGGGACGCGGGTCACTTCCTGCTTCTGCTCTGTCCTCCCTCAGGCGAAGCTTGGAGACGAGATCCTTGACTACAGGGACTTGGCCGCGCTTCCCAAAAGCAAGGCCATCTACAACATCGACCGCCCAGACATGATCTCCTACTCGCCCTACGTCAGCCACTGCGCGGGCGACAGGCAGAGCTGCAGCGAGGTACGGCCTCCGCGTGGCCCGTGGGCAGGAGCCTCCCTCACGGGGGCGTTCTGACAGGATCCAGCCAGTGTCCTCCCCTCTGCAGGGCTCCCCAGGCCCTCGGGTGACCTGCCACACCTCACTCACTAGTGCCCAGCGCTCTGGCTCTAAGCACCCCTCACTGAAGGGCCTGCAAGGGCCTCGTTAAAGGAGCAGGCAGTAGGCAGCAGGAGCAGGAGCAGGCAGCAGAACAGGCTGCCGTTGGGAAGGGATAGAACCTGCGTGAGAATCTGGCTCCTCCTGAGTGCTGGAGTATTGTCATGAAGCAGGAAATGCAGTTTTCCTGGCCAGGACTTCCCGGCCGCACCCAGCCCCACCAGCCAGCACGCTCCTGCTCTCCTTGGTGACTCCCGAGCCAGTTCCACCCCCTGGTGACCACGAATTACTTCGCAGTGTTGCTGGAGCGTCCTCTGTTACTTGGTGACTTCTAAATGAGGCCGCCCGTCTCCATCTGACCTGGATTCATTGGAGGTTCTCGCTGCTCTTTCTGTGGCTCTGAGATCTCGGTGTCCCTGTGGCCGAGGTGCTGGGCCGCGGGCCTGAGCGTGGAGCCTGAGTGTAGCCAGGCACAGGTGCTCACAGGGCAGGGACACCGGATCCTTTCAAGCATGATTCCTTTGGTCCTCCTCATTCTGTGACTTCTCAAAATGAGGAAAATGAGGGCTGAGCCCCAGGGCACTGTGCACAGCAGGTGGGTGCAGGGAAGTCCAACCTGGGCCTGATGTGACCAGGCACCTGCTCAGGTCACAGCTGCCGGGCACAGCTGCGGGGCTTTGGGGGCCAAGCAGGAGAGAGATGACTCAGGGATAGCAGGTGCCCCTGCTGACCACGAGAGCCTGAGAGTGTGGTGACAAGCCTCACTGTTACTGAGAGACCCCAGGAAGGGTGAGGCAGGGGGGTCCAGCCTGTACCCCCTGCCCGTGCCCCGGCCCTAGGTTCCCATCACCCTCTTTCCCCTAGCCCCCTTCCCCTCCTTCCAGAGAAAACCTGGTGATGTGCACACAGAGTGTGGCAGGTGTCCTGAGCCTGCAGGCTTCCGTTATGGGAAGACGTGTGTCTCGAGAGCGGTGGGGCATGGCGAGTGGCCAAGCCAGTCTCCAAGCCTGGGAGCCCCTTTCTCTGAGTGCCCTGGACCCCATTTCTCCAAGAGTCCTGCAGTCCATTCTGCATCTCCTGGGGTGGGTTCATTCCCGTGTGCAGGCTCACGTCCGGGTACACCTTGACCCACTGTTGCCTGCTGGTCCCCAAACCACCCCTTCACCCCCAAAGTAGTGCCTAGTGTCACAGTGCTGACAGGTCACTCTGTTGTGTCCACAGTCTCCTCAGTTGCTCTCGCCAACGCCGACTGAGGTAACCACCCTCCTGCCTGTGCCCTGTTTGCTATGGTGCTGCTGCCCACCTGTTATAAAGATAACCAGCCACGGCGCCCTGGGAGGGCCTCGGGGCTCCTGGCTGCAGAGCCTGGGCCTCAGCCCCCAGGGCTCGGGCACCTGACTCAGTGTTGGTTATTTTTATAATCACGCCTCGTCTGCATGCTTTCCTGCGCCTGCCAGCCCCGCCCTCGTGGACGCCTGGACACGGCAGCACCTGAGCGGGTTGTGGTCTGGGTCATGGCTCTCTGGGTTAGTTCAGGTTCACTTCATGCCCAAACAGGGTGCCCGGGATCTACTGGCCCTGCAGGGAGCACTCTGAATACATCTCTGTAGCAAAAACCTTTCTCCTTAGCCGTCTGGGACATTCCTGTTTCTCAGAAATTGGTCAGTGAGGTGGACTGTAGCCCACCAGGCTGCAGCTTGCACTGCGGCGCAGGGAGGGGCAGGTGGGGTATCACAGGACCCATGAGCAAGGGACAGCGAGAGCTGGCGGTGCAGAGCGTGTGCCGTCCACTGGGCTCCGGTCCTCATCTCCTCACTGGCCCCTAGGAGCTGTCCGCCAGCCACTGTCATCATGCGTGCTCCATAAGTCACTAAAGCACGGGTGACCTCTGACGGGTGACCTCTGACAGGCCCAGCTGGCCATCCTCGCGCTGCCTCGTTACCCACACAGGGAAACCCCGAGAGGGACGTCGGCTCCTCCCACGGAGGAGGTCAAGGCCCGCTGGACAGCACGCTCTAGAACGAGCCCAGCCTCATGGCAAGGCCCCCCAGAAGGTGCCCCCAGACACAAGCACACATTTGGTCAACGGGAGGCTACACAGCCCACAGGCTTCTGGTGGTCACTAGGGCCCTGGGGCCTTGGGCGCCCTCACTGGGACCACCTTCCTCCTGCCCGCTCATCCTCAGCAGGGTTCCCAGGAGATGGAATCTCCTTATCTCACTGGACCTCGTCCTTCCCCTCCTTCCTTGTAGTTCTGGGGAGCCAGAATCTTCTGTCTAGTCCCTGTCCGGTCCCTCCACCTGGCTCCTTAGTCTGCCCTTAGAAACAGCACTGGGGGCAAAGGGCAGCCATGTTACCCTGCTGCTGCAGATGGCAGGTCACCTTGCCTCGGAATGGGCTGCAGGTGGGCATCAGACCTCAAACCCCTGGGTCCAGGCTGGCAGCAACCCAGCAGGCCAGAGGCCAGCTCACACTAAGCTCCCCAACCCACAGTGGCCAGGAGACAGGACAGCCTGAGGTGCACAGCTGGTGGCTGGGCCTGGCAGAGGATGCCAGAGGTGGCAGGGGCTCCAGCCGGGCAGGAGAAGGAGCCCGTGAGAGGGACAGGGTGTGCAGGCAGGAATGTGGCCTCAGGCGGCAGGGAGGGAAACCCTGAAGGCCACGGTGAGCTCAGGCAGGCCGGGCAGCCGTGAGCGCCAGACCAGCCCCCGCTCATCCTGGTGGTGCTGCCAGGGGTGGGACAGCGGTCAGCCCTCGTCAGGGTTCTGGGTGGGCTGGCATGATCCAGGCCACGGGGCCACGCTGCAGGGGTTAGGGCAGGCTGCTCCCCTCGCCATGGGGCCGTGCCATCCCATGCCTCCACTGCCCACTGACCGCTCCCAGCAGTCCTCCTGCTTGGACAGGCCAGATATCAGTGCCTGTGGTCCCCCTCAGCTGGGCCTAGGCCCACAGGGGCACCTCCTCTCCCTGAACTGCACACGAGGAGTCCCCTTTGGCACTAGAGGCTCTAGATGGTTCTCAAGCTCTGTTTCAAGGAGCCCCAGGTGCTGGGAGGGCTGGGGGGAGTGGAGGGTGCTGGAGCCCCAGCCCACAGGAGGCACCTAGAGAGGGGAGGCCGCGGTGCCTGATGGGACAGGGACCATGCTTAGGCCAAGGGGCCTGTCAGCATCATGGCCAGGCTGAACCTGGCTCTTCAGACGGGCCTGGCAGGGAGATTTCATGTTGGGGTCATGTTGAGTCAGCCCCTGGGGCCAGGGGGGCGAATGCCGAGGGGGTGGGGGTGGGGGTGGGTGAGGGGGGTGTGCTCTCACCTCAGGGATTCACGAGCTGTGTCTTCCCTCCCAGGGGGACCAAGATGACCGGTCCTACAAGCAGTGCCGGACCTCCAGCCCCAGCTCCACCGGCTCTGTCAGCCTTGGGCGCTACACCCCGACCTCACGGTCACCCCAGCACTACAGCCGTCCAGGTACTCGGTCCCCTGGCTCACAGCCCCCAACAAAACTGTCCTTGTGGTTGCTTTTGAGGTTACAAAGTGGGCTTTTACGCAGCTAGGAACATGGCCGAGAGTGGGACTGTCCATGGGTGGCCGGTGGAGTTAGTGGTATACAGAGAGCCTGCTCCCCTCTGGGGGGAGGCAGTCAGGTACCTGTTGGTCACGGCATCGCCCAGGAAGCACACAGCGGGAAGCGGTGGCTGAGTGCACATGTCACAGGAAGGCAGGAGAACACAAGGGCAGGGATGGCTGTGAAACTTGAGTGTGGAGGAAAATCAGTGGCCAGAGAAAGAGTCGGAATACGCATAGCATGTCCCCTGTGCTCGGTTAGTCACTGCAGGGAAAGCCATCCTCGTGGGAAAGTTGGCATGAGGTCAGGGCAGAGCCCCGTGGAGGGTCCCCTCCACCCATGTCACCTCGTCCCAGCCTGCACCCAGCTGTGCGTTGCTCTACCTCAGCTTTAAGACTCCTTGGCCCCCGGAGTGTCCAAGCCCAGGGGTGCACAGGGACGCTGCCTCTCTGAGGGATCTTTCCAGGCTGTTTCCTTGGTCAACTGTGAATGACCCCATTTCCACCTCTGTGACGACAGCGCTGATGTGAGCAAACCTGGTGGAAAAATCCAGTCATTCATTTGCAAAGTCACTTTCATTGGCTCTTTGCAATGTGCCAATAAGTGTGCCCAATAAGTGTGAAGAGAGGGGATGAGAGAGAGTGAGTGAGTGAGTGAGTGAATGAATGAGTGCCTGAGTGAGTGAGTGAGTGAGGAATGAGTGAGTGAGGAATGAATGAATGAGTGAGTGAGTGAATAAATGAATGAGTGAGTAAATGAATGAGTAAGTGAATGAGTGATTGAGTGAGGAATGAATGAATGAGTGGGTGGGTGAGTGAGTGGGTGAGTGAATGAGTGAGTGAGTGGGTGAGTGAATGAATGAATGAGTGGGTGGGTGAGTGAGTGAATGAGTGAGTGAGTGGGTGAGTGAATGAATGAATGAGTGAGTGAGTGGGTGGGTGAGTGGGTGAGTGAATGAATGAATGAGTGGTGGGTGAGTGAGTGGGTGAGTGAGTGAGTGAGGGAGTGGGTGAGT